AGCAAGGTCACCTATTCCTTCTTTTGTGCTTGACAAAATTTAACCAAGAGCCCGAAGGAGGGAAAGCGGTGTCAACTAGGTAGCGCCCCTGGGTACGGGATTCCAAGGGGCAGCTCCCCGCAGGGTCCAAGGGGTAGAACCCCTGGCAGTGGTTCTTAGGCTCTAGGGTAGCGCCTCGAAACCTAAATGGATTTCTATTATAGGAAAGAGTTCGGACATGCATTTTCCCGCCAAAAATAGGTTATGCCATCATGATGATGTAATAGTTGGGTGCCTTATAATCACCTTTCAACCACTTGTTTTGGTACCATTTTGGCGTATAACCAACTTCTAACCACCATCTTCCTTGTATATAAAGAAGATGAATGTTCCAAAAAATGGTTGACACTTTTGATACCCGAAATTGATTATGTGAATCTATCCGTCTCTCAAAAACGCAAAACAACAAGGTACTTTTCTGTGTTTTGAATTTGGGAGTGGCCTGACTTTTAAATTGTCTTTCTTGGATTATCCCAAATCAAATTTCGTGATACCCCATTTAATATGGTCGAAATCATAGATTTTGGAAAGTGATTGCAATCACTATTCTTGAATTATCCAAGTTTATATTGATATTCCTAGACCCAAAATCTAACAATTTACACCCTCCGCTACACCACCATAACCTTGATTCTCTGGTTTCTTTTACCGATTTGTCATAGAACTAGAGAAAGACAAAGGGGGTGTGATTGTGATTTGTTTCTACAACCAGGATACACACACAAATAAAAAAGTATGATCAGAAATCTGTAAATTGATTCATGAAGAAATGGGGGTCAATTCAAGGATGGGCTTGTTCTTTTGTTGCTGACTGAGAACACACAAACTACACACTAGATTTGGGGGTGATGCTCGTAGGTTGTGGATCGAACCTGAAGTGGAACAAGCGTGGCTCTAGACTCAATAGAGTAAAAAAAAAGGAGACCTCAAAAAAAGCACCAAGGGTTTTTCCTTTTCATTTCCTGTTAGATTTACAGATGAAAACTTTTATAGGTTTGTTTGATTTGCATATCTGATCAAGTAAAGAAAGTGAAGAACAACGAGAGGGGAAATGGGTGGAAATGGTGGATGGTGACGGTGTTTGATAGTGATAAACAATTGATGGTGGTGGACAATGGTGGTAATAATGGTGCAGGGTGGTTCTGTGATGGTGAGGATGGATGACAATGTTGAATGATGGATGACGATGTTGAATGATAGTGAGGATGGTGGAGGTTACAATGTTTTATGAAGATGGTGGCGATAGTGGGTTGATGATTGTGGTTAGGTGAGGGGTAGCCGATGGTGGTGGAGGTCCAATGGGGTAGGGTAGGATGGGGTAAGTGTTTTTATTTCTTTTTTTAATTCTTTTAAATGTAAATCAGTCAAAAGAAATGTAAAAGAAATTAAAAAGAGTAACAAAAAAGTAATTTCATACATATGATGACCAACCACAATAGAAATTGAAAATACAGGGACTTTCTATGAGATGGAAAAAAGTTAAAAACTAACCTTGATATTCCTAATAACCACATGACCATTTATGAAGATTACCCTTTTAAAAATAACATAAAACACAAAGTTTATAAAAGTTCTCAAAACATATTGGAAGTAGCTGTTTTATTAGAAATTTTTTGTTTAAAATAAAATCCTTTAAACTTTAAACTCGTATGCAGACTTTTTATTAAAATAAGAGCTAAAAGTTCATAAAAAGAAAGCTTTATTTTTTTTTTCGACCCGTGTAATAAATTGCACAAAAAAAAAGCAATGAATGAAGTAAGCCATGTTAAATTGCACAAAATAAAAAAAACAATCAAACATTCCAAAAACCCTTTTAGGGTTTCTATGTGGTTTTATAATACGAATCTATCCTTTTCGTTTGAAGGTGAAACCTCCTCGAATTTCAAGATAAACTCTTGAAATATGTTTTTTTCCCCAACTCATGGTTATTTATTTATTTTTATAAATTTTGGGTTATAAACAAACCATGACCAATTCATGAATTTTGGTCATTCGTTGTTCATCCAAATCACACACCTTAAGCTCTTCCCTTGAAGAAGCAACTCAAAAGCCTTGTTGATGTCGTTAAACTTAACTTCATGTGTCACAAATTCATCTAGTTGTAGTTCCTACAAAAGATCAACAATTCTTAGATTCCATTCAAAATAATTTGAAAAGTCATATGTTAATGTTGGTATAATAAACTAATCAATTTAGAGTTTAAAAAGTCAAGATTTTGATTACCTTATCCATGTAGCGTTTTATAAGGATTGGAATATCAGATTTCGGTTTCACACCTCCAAAAAGTGAACCCATGAGAGTTTTTCCACTGTGAAGTACCTCAAAAGAACTAAAAGACAACATTGCCCCTGGTTGGTCAACTCCCAACACAACCGTTTTCCCCCATCCCTAAAGAGTACATTCATTGTTAAAAAAATATTCAATTAGTGGCTAAAAATATAATTTCATGTCTCAAAATATAAGAATATAAAAAACAATTAGACCTTTCTAGAAGAAGCATAAGCTTCATGCACAAGAGAAGTCAAACCAACACATTCAAAGCAATAATCTGCACCTCCACCAGTCATCTCAATTATCACCTGCTTCAACAAACATTTTTTTAATGTTATAAAACTTTTCATTATGAATTTAAAATCTTAATTTTAAAATAAAGCATAATGTATTAAATTACCTGGCTGACAGTTTTGTCCCCGATGTTACGCGAGTTCACAAAATCAGTGACTCCGAATTTCTTTCCTGACAATAAATAAAAAATTATCAATGTAATAAAAGAAACCATGGAAAAAAGCTTCTATATTTTATAAAGATTTTTTTTTTAAAATTACCTATTTCAAACTTGTCTTGATTCACATCAACACCAATGATCCTCTTAGCTCCACATAGCCTTGCTCCCTCAGCAACCTAAGATCCCATGTTAAAAAAAATGAAGTTTTTATTTTCAAATATGTCATACACCTTTGATCTTACATATTTCTGTGTATATGATGTTTTGATTTGATTGGAAAAATTAAGGTACAATAAAGTGATTAAACAGCAAAATTGGTCAAAATATATAGTTTTTATGTAATTTGTGCAAAAGTTTAAGATATATAAATTATAAAACAGAGTTATACTTATACCGCTAGCCCAATTGCACCAAGTCCAAATATAGCAACTGTACTACCAGCTTCCACTTTTGCTGTTTTCCAAGCAGCACCCACCCCTGAAAGCATAATTTGCATGTTAACTTTGTTATCAATTTATCATAAACATAGTAAAAAGAGAATAAAAAAGAAGACAGTTTAATTACCAGTTGATACACCACAACTTAAGAGGCAAGCTCTATTTGGTGGGGTTGCTGGATCAATTTTAGTTATGTGAGCAATGTCAACCACTGTGTATTCACTGAAACTTGATACAGACAAGAAATGGTATAAAGTTTTTCCATTCATGTCTGTGAATCTGCTTGTTTCTTCTCTATCCATCCAAGGGGAAACTTTGAATGGAAATTTTGAACATAGGTTGCTTTTTTGGGACAAGCAATCTGTACATTCACCACAATCGGCCAAAAAGATTGGGATCACAGTGTCGCCTTCAACAACTTCATGTACACCTTCACCAACACTCTCTACAATCCTTTAATCGAGGAAAACAGGATGATTATTACACTCTCTGATTTCAGGTTAAAATTTCCCAAAAAAGAAGAAGATTTGACATGCGCAGATTACTAAATTCGATGAATTCTTACCCCATTGCTTCATGACCGAGTATTCTGGGGAAAATAGCGGGAGGATGCTTCAAGAGAAAATAACAATGGTTAATTAACAATTTAACATCAACAAAACACTGGATGAATTTGAATTTGACAAAAATGTGATTTGATTTCAAATTCAACGACTCTATACCTCCAATTTCCAAAAGGTAACATCGCTATAACAAAGTGTAGTGCATATGATTTTAATTCGAACTTCGCGATGTTTAGGTGGGGCTACTATCACTTCCTCTATCACCAGCGGCTCCCTTGGTTTCCTAGCAATCGCAGCTGTGAACAACACATGCATCCATTAGTTCTTCAAGGAAATCAAAAATTCCGACGGATGGCGCCTTCATCCATTAGGTAATTGCTTATTTCTCAGGAAAACATGAAGTCTCAACATTTTCAAACAGATTTTTGATCTTTTCAAGTTCAAAACATGGAATTAGAGTGCTGAAGCATGGGCTGAAGAACTAACCTCGGCACCGGATAGGCTTTCCGGCAGTGTTGTTAGAGCTTTTTCCGTCCATAGCCAATCGGAGATGCTGTTTTTCACTTTTTTTGTCTGTTTCTTGCACACAGTTGTACTGTTTTTGGATTCTATTTTGGGGTTTTATAGTTGTTAGGAGTACTAGTATTCTCCGCCCGGCGGGAATTGGAGGGTGAGTAACCGACGTATTTATTTTTAATTTGGAT